CCATGGATCCCTCCCTATGTGCTCCCAGGCTGATAGTTTAGACCCCGGGAGCTTTGGTTGGTTGGTATTGTTGCTCTCCTCATGGAGCTGCAAACCCTTTCAGCTCCTTCAGTCTTCTCTCTCACTCCTCCATTGGGAACCCCATGATCAGTTCAGTGGTTAGCTGTGAGCGTCCATGCCTCTCTCTCTCTCTCTCTCTCTCTCTCTCTCTCTCTCATTCATGTATATCCTTAGAGGTCTAACAAAACTTTCAAACATCATAGTTTCCAGTTTCCTGTTATTTTTAAGAGACAGTCTCACAGCTGACTTCTCAGTCCTTTTGGAATCTTTCAGACCCTCTTTCAAGATGTTCACTAAGCTGAGGGTGTAGTAATTATGCTATACACATACCCATTGGGCTGGACCCCCCATAATCTTTTAAATTCTGTACTATAACCACTTCCAGTTTTCTGTAAGAGTCTCCATCTGCTGCAAAGAGAAACTTCACTGGTGTTCAGTGAGAGCTTCACTTATCTGATGGTATAAAGATGAGCTGTAGAATACAGTTTAGGATTGTGCTGATCTAATAAAGTGGCAGTAGCAAATTCTCCTCTAAGATGAATAACCTGGATATGTGGTTAAGTTTCTAACATCAGGCACATTTTGCTTCCTGATGATTAGGCTGATGAGAGAGAGAGAATATTCTCTCCAGAATGAGACCCCAAATTTGTTACCAAATCAATGCTCAGCATTGAAATCATATACACATAAGCAACACTAAGGGAACTCAGCAGGTTATATTTTCATATTTATGCCCTTAAATATAATTAACAACAAAAATCAAAGAGAAACAGATCATCAGTTTGAAAGTGAGTAGGAGAGTTGAAGAGTTGAAGAGGCAAGAGAAGAAAGGAAAGTGATATTATTATATTTTAATTAATATAAAAATAATCCAGGAAAATGTGCACAAAACACAAAACTAATGCTAAATGAAAGCAGTGAGTGCAGCTTTCTCATTCTTCTCAACAGGGGCTATCAGGAGAATGTACAACAGAAAACTTGCTTCTCTAGTTCATGTGGCATGAAACCAAAGGGACTATGCTTAATAAGAATCAGGATGTATGAACGTGATTTTAATAGCATAAGAGTAAAGTAAGTCTTGATTCTGGGATGATATGTTAAGTGAGGCACCTGAGTAAGGTGTCAATGTAATCTGTTCTTCACACTACTTGCCATGTTTGATATTAATTCTCTAGTGAATTCTCCATTGAAATATACATTTCCTAAGAGGTTCAGTGTCATTAACCTATCTACAGCATTCACCCAGTTTCTAGAACACAACAACTATTCAACACATACTTTTGAAAATAATGAATGTATGATTTTTTTTATATCTGGTTGTGAAAACTTATTGGTTAGAGTCATCAAAAATATACACTATAACATCCAATGTAACCTGAGTAAGAATCCTAAGTAAAATATGATCTAAACCATGAATGCATTTAGAAAAGTAATTTAAACTCAACCTCTCCTCACCATCATTTATAGAAACAAAGATTGTATATATGAGCATGTATGTAAACAAATTATTAACCTAAGATAATAGCTTGTGAATATAATCCAATTGATAGAATCCTTGGCTTATATATTTGAAATCAAGTTCTAGACCCCCAGAGCACATAAACTGAGTGTTAGATACATGTGAGTTGAATACATGATAAATGTAGATAGAAGATCAGAAGTTCAAAGTCTTCCTTAGCAAATTAAAAGTCAATCTTGATTACATAAGACTATATTAAAAAGAGAATAATTTACAAACATCATTGAATACACAACTTAGTGAAGGAAACTTTGACAGCTACTTATGAACATTGCGTGTATATAGTATAATGTATGCATGCATGATTGTATGTATGCATGTTCTTCAAGTGAGTTCAGGTACCAGCATGCCATAGTACATACACAATGGTCACAATTCAATGTCACTAACTTTCCTGATTTGCCAAAGTTTTGACACAAGGTCTTTTTCTGTCATACACTTCTCCATATTCAGGCTAATGTACTAGGAAGTTTTCAGTGATGATCCTGTCTCTACCACTCCTCTGCCAACAGAGTCAGGAGACACTTTGAATGAAAGTTAACTTGTGCTCAGTGGTCAACCAGTTTAAACAAGGGAATATCAAGGACATAATATAGAACTTAATGAAAGTAAAATTAACAATAGAGTTGAGATGACTCTTCAGATAGAGAATCATTGAGCCTTATTTTTTCCCTTATAGCATATAAATTTTACCAGCTATCACTTCTCTGAGGAATGAATTATGAAATATTAACTCTTATCTTGAAAACATCAATACCTCTTTCTCTGTATTACTTTCTAGGTAAAATTACATTTTTATATTCTTGCCTATAAAAATTTTGGTGGCCTCAAATAATTACTCAACTTTGCATATCATCACTACATTTACCAAAACACCTATCCAATAGAGTATGTTACATCAACCACTAAAATACTAAAAGAAAAATCAGGGTACATAAATGAAAAAGAGCCAAAATAGTTCACTATTATACTTCATTTAATATCTTCTAACATGAACTAACATGAATAAAATATCAATGTGAATGATTTACCTAAGATTATTTGTGATCCTGTACCTCCCATGATTACCAAGTGAAAGTGCATCAATGCTCACATGAAGAGGAAAACAAGATGTTACTTGAGATTGACAGACTCCTTGAAAATTAATTGTGTTTGTGTGTGTGAAATGAACTGCTCAGTACTCACTGTGAATGATGTAATGATCCCTAATGCATTGAATTCACACTGGAATCCAAACCCACTTCAGAGACTTATCCTCAGTGACAAACAATGACAGTGGAAACAATTTTGCAGCTATAAAATCACAGTAACTTTGAACTTCTTGCTATGAAATGAATTTTTGTTTCAAGAGGTAAGATTCTTTATTTTGCTGGTAAATGGAGATATTTTGGTCTTTGAAATTGCACTATATTTATAAGCATGGTATACAAAGGAGTCAAATGGAATCAAGTAAATATATAACAGAAGGAAAATAAATGTTATGACATGAATTAATATTTACATAGACAAATTATTCAGAATAGTTAATTTTCTTTTTAAACTTTATAAAAAAAAAACAGATTTTTTCTCATTCAATACACCCAGATCACAGTTTCTCCTGCCTTCACTCTTCCCAGCTACCCTGTAGTTTTCAAAGATTCTTTAAATATCCATCCATTGCTAAGACCAGAAATTAACATGACCTTGAAAGATGTACACATGTAGCATTCGGCCAAAAGAATAAAGAATTCAATACTTTGGAAATACTTTGGTTTCTTAATGTAGGTGGATATCTTGTGCAAAGACTTGCATTGTTTGTAAATTTTCAGCATCACTGGACAGATTAACATGTAAACATAAAATGTGAGAGATGAGAGTCAATCTGCCCCTTATGAAAGAACAAAGATACTTTTCTTAACTTCTTTCAGTTTGAATATTTACTGAGCAGTGTCCTCGTTTTAAATTTATGTGAATTTATTCCATCACACTCCAGTTAAGAAATGCTGTGGCACTGGCATATTTCAATTAAAAATGAAAATGATATTTAATATTATTCATATTTTACATGATGAACTTGATATTCAAATTATTGTAAAGAATGATTTATTTAGAGTTAATTAGCATATTTCTTGAGCTTAAATAGAAAGTTCCATTTATAAATTTAGTGTGATCTCTAATCTACTTCTCAATTCTGAAGAGAAATTTATCATCTTTGTAAAAGTTGATGAAGACATGTTCTTATTTACAGAATTGATAGATTTTCTGACCAGTGTCACCAACAAAGCATCTCTCTGTGTATTTTCCATTGGAAACCTGAAATGCTGTCAGTCCTTAATTTGTATGTGGCCTCAAGTGCATGCGTAATCTTTATTAATAGTGTGAATACTAAAATGAATATCCTGAGCCCAAACTGTCTTATTCTTCTCTTCATTTCTTATTCTCTTTTTAAAATTTTGTTGTTTCTATTTTTTGTGTGTGTGTGTGTGTGTATGAGTGTTGCATGCACGTGGACATATACATACACCAAAGGCATATCTGGTGCCTGTGAACCACAGAAGAGTTCACTAGATCCCCAGAACTTGAACTACAGACTGCTATGAGAAACTCAGTGAAAGCTAGAGATCAAATCTGGGTTGTCTGCAAGTACAAAAAGTACTCTTAATAATTGAACCACCTCTCCACTCCATTATTGTTATGTCTTCATATACATATGTGTGTGTGTGTATAAATTAAAATTACTACCTTCTAAAAAATTAAAATAAAAGAAATAAATAAATTAATGTTTCATAGGCATAAAAATGAAAACATAAAATTTTAAATCCTGTGCTAGTGATTTAGAAAGCATTCAATAATATTAGCCATTAAATAATGATATGTTTTTAGATTTTAACCCTTTTTGCATTTATAATAACTCAATTGTTATTAAGAATCATATTATTGTTTATTTGTCTATTCATTTGTGTGACGATAATGGTGTAGAAAACATACCTTATGTGTGGATGTCAAAGGACAACATTCAGGAGTAGTTTCTATCCTCTCTTCATCTGAGTTCTTCTGAGAAATTGAACTCTGGCTGTCATGTGTCAGGCTTGGTAGCAAGAGTCTTTATCTAAAACATAGTCTCATCAGGCTGTTTCATAATTTTAATTCTACAGCTTTAATAGGAATTAAGTATATTTTATTATAAATGTAAGTAAATGTTGCATATAATTTTAACATTTTTACCATTTCTGCTTAATTTTCAAAGTCTTATATTGCACAAATATATGTAAACAATAAAATTACTGAGTAAATACATCCATTGTTAATCTAACTTTTCAATCATATATTAGTTTGTAGTGTTCTACATGTCTGTATCAAATAAAATGAACCATACTATTTAGAAATCCCTTCCTATTTTGTCTCAATTACAGACTTCATCTGCCAGCAGCTACACTACGCAATGGCTTGCCTGGAGGATGGGAACCACACTGCAGTGACAGCGTTCATTTTATTGGGATTAACAGACAATCCAGTCCTTCGAGTCATCCTCTTCACCATTATCCTGTGCATCTACCTGGTGACTGTGTCTGGGAACCTCAGCACTATCCTTCTCATCAGAGTCTCTTCCCAGCTCCATCACCCCATGTACTTTTTTCTCAGCCACTTGGCTTCTGTTGACATTGGCTACTCTTCTTCTGTCACACCCAATATGCTTGTCAGTTTTCTGTTAGATAAAAGTACCATCTCCTACCTTGGATGTGGCATACAGCTCAGCTTAGTTGATTTCTTTGGGACAGCTGAATGTTTCTTTCTGGACGCCATGGCTTATGATCGCTTCATGGCAATCTGCAACCCACTGTTTTATTCCACCAAAATTTCCACACAAGTTTGTGTTCAGTTAGTTGTGGGATCTTATATAGGAGGTCTTCTTATGCTTCCTTTGCTATGGTTTTCTTTTTTACTTTTCTCTTCTGTGGACCAAATATAATCAATCATTTTTTCTGTGATTTTGCTCCTCTGATTGAGCTCTCTTGTTCTGATGTCAGTATCTCTGTAGTTGTTACCTCATTTTCTGCTGGCTCAGTTACTATGCTAACAGTGTTTGTCATTGCTATTTCCTATATGTACATTCTCATCACCATCCTTAAGATGCGCTCCACTGAGGGTAGACAGAAGGCCTTCTCCACCTGCACCTCTCACCTCACTGCAGTCACTCTGTTCTATGGGACCATCACATTAATTTATGTGATGCCCAAGTCCACCTTTTCTACAGACCAAAACAAGGTAGTGTCTGTGTTCTATATGGTAGTAATTCCTATGTTGAACCCCCTCATCTACAGTCTCAGGAATAATGAAATTAAGAGTGCTCTGAGGAGACAGCTTGGGAGAAAAACATTCTCTTAGAATGATCTGTCATTTTTTTCAAACTTAGTATAATAAGAGCCTTTATGAAAGATCAGCATGACTACCGTCTGACATTTTGTTACTAGCTTTCTTCCTTACTCCTTTGCCACTCTTATCTTTTTCCTCCCAGGATATATAGCTATTTTGTTTCATTACAATTACTATTTCATATTTTCACATCTGTCTTTGAGAATTTTATACAAAGTATTCGCATCATTTTTACCATCTCTCCTCAATTCCTCCAAGTATTATAGCTCCCTTTCCCAACTCCATCTTTTTTTATCTTATAATACTTGTTTTGTCTGTATATACTTTTGTGTGTAGGCATCTCCTGGAGTGTGGTTATCCTAACAAAGGAAATACCCTTAAAGACAATTGACTTTCCTCATCTCAAATATCAATTGTCAATTACTCTTCAAATAGACATCATGCCAAACTCCCATCTCCATGCTAAGATTTTGTCTGGTTAGATTTTATATACACTGACACAGATACCATGAGTTCATATATATTACCATGATGATGTGTCTGGAAAAAAAGGTTTCTTTATTGTCCAAAGTTTTTTTTTTGTAGTCATCCACTACCTCTAGCTCTTTCAGTCCCCCCCACACACACGCACACATACACACTCCTTGACAATGGCTCATTTCCTTATAGAGAAGAGGGGAGTGATACAGATATACCTTTAAAGCTATGTCTTCCATTGTCTCTAATTCTCTGCAAAGTATATCCTGATTATAGTTTCCCATTCGTTTATTCCTCATTGTTCCTCTTCACCTTTTCTCCCCTGTGCTTGGAGTCCACCCCTTTTCTGAATCTGTAACTTTCAAAATGTCTCATAATACATTTAGTTATTTTAATTTGGGGATATATATTATAGTGTTTCCATTTATAATTTTAGTTTTACTCTATTCATGAATAGGTGAAGATCTTGCATTTATAGGTCTAATAGTCTTTTTGCATTCAGCATTAGCTTTTTCAAAGGCTAGAGATTCAATTTAAAATTCTCTAGTGTTGGATCTAATATTTTTCTATTTAGATTTGAAGTTAATCTTTGTAAATGTCAGTGAAAGAGTCATTTGAATCCTCGGTTATCTTTGTAGATGATTCAGATCATCCTTGTTTATCAACCTTGTTCCAAGAAATTAAGGCTATTATATAGCATTGTTTGATAATGGCATCATCAAACATAATCTGTACTCTTAATTCAGAATATGGACCTTCACCTCAGAACTGACCCTTGAAAATGTTAGTGATGCTAGTCCTATTTTCTCACTCCATAACTGAAGCCTCATTTTTCAACCATGCTAGTCATTCTAGTTGAGGGCCAGGTTCTAAGATGGGTCATCAACTCTCTCCAATCTTTTGGAATTATACAATTTTATGTAACCCAATTATTAAGTTTCTGTCTTACATATGGTAAATATAAGCCATAGGTCATTGTGGTGTCTTTAAATCTCTTTAAGTCTAGTGTATCTATGGGCTGCCACTCAAATTCTATTTTTTGAGTATTTTATTGGATATTTTATTTATTTACATTTCAAATGTTATCCTCTTTCCCAATTCTCACCTGCTTAAAACCCCTATCCCATTCCTCCTTCTCTTTTTTGCCTTTATACCATTTTAATCATATGCAAGTATTAAAGTCAGTTCTAGGTTGAGGAACTAAGAATACCTCTTTGTTCTAGCCTAATGTCAGATTCCTGCCTGAAACCCATTTTTTTTGTCCTTGGACAATGTCAGATTCCCATCAAGCAGCCCCCAAAGCTCTCCACATTTCCCTCTTTTTTATTTCATAAGCAAGACTGAAACTGTCTTAGGTTGTTCTATCAAGAATGCCTTCCTTACCCATCATGGAATATGCATTATCAAAGGCAATGCACTCATGTCTTAGGTTGATAAAAGTCTGGGAATAATTTTACCCATCCTTGGCTTGCCAGCCTGTTAAAGTAATAACTGTGTATGGGAGTCCAATTTCAGGTTCAAATCATGTACTTTGGCTGTCAACATGTTGATGTTGTTAAAGACAAGTTTTCATACAATGGGCAGGAATAAAACTTTTCCCATGACAAGGGCTTGTGTGATCAAGCTATGTATACCATTCTTGACGCTTGGCCAAAATGGAAATGCCAACCTCAAGCCATAAATAATTTTATCAGCAGCATCTGCAGCATCAAAGCTCAGCAGAGCAGCATTCTTTAAATTAATAGTCTCACTATGCAATGTTCAAACACCCAGAGAGTTGTTAGAATTATGCCAAATACCCTGCAAGTGTATTTAAACTTTTTCCTAATTATAATGACTATCATTGTAAATTTTAGAAGTAATACAATTCAATTGGCATTTGGCATGGCACTCGAGATGGCTCCTTACTCTTAAACTCTGAACTTCATTCCAATAATTTGAATAGGATAAAGAGCATAAATCTGATGTTCCAAATGTCTATCTAAATCCTTTTGTATACTCAACACATTAGTAATTTTTTTTTTGCCAAATGTTTAACAAAGGTAGCTGTCTTAACTTCTTGTGTCAAAGCAATTGCAGAAGCAGTGGAGCTAGCAATTAATGTAATTAAAGCTATTATACCAGCCATAATCAGGTCCACTACCCTCTTGCTTCTGCTTAAAGACTAACTCACTTCTTGTAGTACTTGCAAGCTTTTTTCAGTAATACTCATGGCAATAAGACAAAAGCTGGTTGATAGAACCCTGTAACAGACATATCAGGTTTCAAGACACTATTATAATTAGAAAGTGTACAATCAATGAAACTTACATTAAATACTGTAAAAGAAACAAAAATAATTTTAACTTGACAATTAATAGAACCTTAACACATACACTAATACTTGTTTGAAATCAAGATTGTGCCCTGACTTTATCTCTTGCTAATATAACATCATAGAAAACTGCAGCTAACATGCACATATGTCTCTGAAAATGTCTAGATGCAGCTTTCCAAATGAAGACTGTTATTTCCAATATTGGATTGATTTCTATACCAGTGCATGATTGAGTCTGAATAACTGGTCACATTTAATAACAGTACAAGAGTCATTATAACTTCTCTTTTTTATTCTTTGTTCCACAGAATCTAAAAACTTGAGGCAAAGCAGCTTGTCCCATCTGGGATATAGGCAAGCAAAGGTGGATCAGGAACATATGTCCAATACAGCTTCCCAGTCATCATTGCTAGGGTACTTAACAAGCTCACAGGTCAGCATCATTCTTTGTCCTAGCATCAACATGTCTCACCAATCACTCTGGTAGCCACCATGCTCCTTCAGCATCCTGCAGAAAAAAATACAAAAAATCTGCCCCAGATTAGGTACCTCATTGGGATCATGCCATATACCAGTAAGTGGATCCTTCCTTTTCACCTAAGCATAAGTATGCCTAGGTGTAGGGTGCCATAGACACTCAGCAGAAAGTTCCTTGGCATCCAAATTCTTTTAAATTGGATATTTTATTTATTTACAATACAGTTGTCATCCTTTTCCCCATTTCCCCTCTCTAGAACCCTCTATCTTATCCCCCCTCCTCCTTTATGCCTTTATACCATTTTGATTACATGTATGAATTAAGGTCACCAATTTTTTAAAATTTTAAAATAAAAGAGCATGGTTTAAATAAATGTGTGGTGTACAGAGATATTCCTCCCCCTTTTAATTTTATGAGAATACTGTTTTAAAGTTCCATGGGTCCCTTCCAAAATACCTTGTCCTTGAGGAATCCCAGTAATATTGATAACATTAAACTGTTGACAAAAGTCTCAAATGCTTGACTACAATAGCCAGTTCCATTATCTTTTTATTTTGTTTTTTATTATCTTTTTTATTTTGCTTGTTTTTATTGGATATTTTATTTATTTACCTTTCAGATGTTATTCACTTTCCCCATCCCCCCCCCCAAATCTCTTATCCCACTCCCTCCTCCTACTTCTATAATGCTGTGCTCCACGCAACCACCCATTCCTGTCTCCCTGCCCTCAAATTCTCCCACACTGGGGCATCCAGCCTTCCAGGTACCAAGGCCCTCCTGATGTATGACAAGGCCATCCTCAACTATATATACAGCTGGAGCCATGGGTCCCTCCATGTGTGTTCCCAGGTTGGCAGTTTAGACCCTGGGAGCTCTGGTTGGTTGGTATTATCACTTTCCCTATGTGGCCACCAGCCCCTTCAGCTCCCTCAGTCTTCTCTCTAACTCCTCCATTGGAACCCTGTGATCAGTTCAATGGTTAGCTGAAAGCATCTATCTCTGTATATGCCAGGCTCTGGCAGAGCTTCTCAGGAGACAGGTATATCAAGCTACTGTCAGCATGTACTTCCTGGCATCCACAATACTGTCTGCACATGATGACTGCACATTGGATGGATCCCCAAGTGGGGCACATTTTCTGTATCCTTTTCTCTGTTCAAGGACATCTGGGTTCTTTCCAACTTCTGGATATTATAAATAAGTCTGCTATGAACATAGTGGAGTATGTGTCCTTGTTATATGTTGTAGAATCTTTTGGGTATGTGCCCAGGAATGGTATAGCTGGGTCCTCAGGTAATACTGTGTCCAATTTTCTGAAGAACTGAAAGATTGCTTTCCAGAGTGGTTGTACCAGGTTACAATTCCACCAAGAAGTGTTCTTCTTTCTCCATATCCTTCCCAGCATCTGCTATCACCTGTATTTTTTTCATTGTTAAAGACCGGTCTTAGTCCATGGTGATATGATAGGATGCACAGTATTATTTCAACCTTCTTGTATCTGTAGAGACCTGTTTTGTGACCAGTTATATGATCTATTTTGGAGAAAGTACCATGAGGTGCTGAGAAGTAGGTATATCTTTTGTTTTAGGATGAAATGTTCTATAGAAATCTGTTAAATCCATTTGCTTCACAACTTCTCTTAGTTTCACTGTGTCACTGTTTAGTTTCTGTTTCTATGATCTGTCTACTGCTGAGAGTGGGGTGTTGAAATCCCCCATTATTATTGTGTGAGGTGCAATA